ATGTTATAAAATAATGTTAAAAATGTTAAAAAAATATTATATGATATATATATATATTATATATATCAAATAATATTTCTTTTTATAATACATTTCTTTTTATGAATTAAACTCCATTGCATTTCATTTTTATTAAATAAAAAATGAAATTATTTTTATATTTTTATTTATATGAAATTATAAATTAAATATTTACAGATTTAAAAAAATTAATTTTATATTTTTGCGTAACATGGAACAATGTGCAAAAAAACTAAAATTAGATAATATAAATATAAAAGAAGGAGAGGCAGAAATTCTGGTGAATGATACAAATGTATTTTATAATCCTGTTCAAGAGTTCAATAGAGATCTTAGTATAGCTGTATTAGCAACTTACATAAAAAATATAAATAAACAAACAATAGAGATAAATGCAAAAAAAAAAGATGAAATCTGTATATTGGAAGCTTTATCTGCAACTGGTTTACGTAGTATTCGGTATGCCAAAGAAATAATGGGTATAAAACAAATTATAGCAAATGATATTTCTGCAAAAGCAGTAGAAAGTATTAAAAAAAATATATATCACAATGGAGTTGAAAATCTTGTAAAACCAAGTCAAGAGGATGCAACATTGCTTATGTACCAAAATAGAAAAAGCAAATTTGATGCAATAGATTTAGATCCATATGGTTGTCCTACAACATTTTTGGATAGTGCAGTACAATGCGTATCAGATGGTGGATTACTTATGATTACAGCTACAGATATGGCTGTATTAGCTGGCAATTCTCCTGAAACTTGTTATCTTAAATATGGTGCTATCTCATTAAGAACTAAAGCTTGTCATGAAATGGCATTAAGAATATTGTTGCAAAATATTGCTTCACATGCTGCTCGTTATGGTAGATACATAGTACCCATACTTTCTATAAGTGCTGATTTTTATATAAGAGTATTTGTCAAAGTGTTTTCCAGTCAAATTAAATGCAAAGAGAATGCTACAAAAATTGGAATGGTATATCAATGTACAGGCTGTGAGACTATTACTACTCAATCATTATGTTATAAAAAGTCCTCAGGAAACTATAAATTAACATCTTCACCTTATGTGGATCAATCTTGTAAAATTTGTAATTATAAACATCATGAAGGAGGACCTATATGGTTAGGTCCTTTACACGATCAACATTTTGTATCTGATCTTCTATGTAATTTAAGTGAAATGAAATTGGGAACATTGAAAAGGATAGAAGGAGTTTTAAATGTTATTCATGAAGAGCTAGATATTCCATTATATTATACTCTTAATCGTTTAATGTCTATAATCAGATGTATTACACCATCAATACTAATATTTCGATCTGCATTGTTAAATGCAGGATATCGTGTATCATATTCACATGCGTGTAAAACATCTATAAAAACAGATGCTCCAAATGAAGTTATATGGGATATAGTACGTGCATGGGAAAAAAATAATCCCATAAAAAGAAATAAACTGTCAAATGATAGTCCTGCAATAAAAATATTAGATACACCAATAACTACAAATGTTTCATTTGATATACATCCTCTAGCCAATCCAGTATCCAGACAAAACAGGCTAACACGATTTCAACAAAATCCTACAGTTAATTGGGGACCTGGAACACGTTCAAAAACAAGAATAGATTTAGAAAATGGAGATGAAATTCCAAAAAAGATAAAAAATCAGAATAAAAATTCTAAAAAAGAGAAATCACAAGTAACAAATGATATGGAAAAAATAAATTTATAAAATATTTTATTTCTATTTGTAAGTCTTTATTGAAAATATAAATGTATATAAATGTATCAATTAATAACTTCTCATAAATATAATAAAATTTAAATATAATTTCTTTTTTTTATATTTTAAATATATATTTTATAATATATATATTTTAAATATTTTCTTAAAATTATAAACATGAATATATTTATTACTTAAAACTTTATATCATTTTTTTCTTAAAATATTTAAAAATTTAAAAATCAAATATGTTCACACAAAAAAGATATAATATTTAAATATATATTTACAACAAAAAAAAGTTTTAATATTATATAATAATGTAAAATTGAAATATAATTGAACCATATACAGTATTTATATTTAAATATAATCATGAAATGAATTATGAAAATATTTGAACACATATAAGAAGATAAACAGCTTTTATCTTATTTTTGCATATCAGCATTATGATTATCATATTCAATTAATATTCAATTAAAATTACATACCTAATATTTTTTAAAT